TTTTTTTGTTGGGGCATAGAATGAAGCTACTGTCGGGAGTACAGTTTGAAATATGGCAAAAAGCTTGGATGATTTGGTTACCACTTTTTGCAGTATTTCTTACTTACCTGTGGCTATGGAGAAGAAGCAAGAAAAATGGAAAGAGATTACCACCTGGTCCCAAAGGGTTTCCTATTTTGGGGAGTCTTCACATGTTGGGGAAACACCCTTATCGTGATCTACACCAACTAGCTCAAAAATATGGACCTATCATGCACATGCGATTGGGTTTTGTGCCCACCATAGTTGTTTCTTCACCCAAAGCTGCTCAACTCTTCCTCAAGACCCATGATCTTATCTATGCCAGCAGACCACCTCTTGAAGCTGCAAAGTACATCTCTTGGGAGCAGAGGAACTTAGCTTTTGCTCAATATGGTTCTTACTGGCGCAACACTCGTAAGATGTGCACGTTGGAATTACTAAGCCAGGCCAAAATTAACTCCTTTAGACCACTGAGGGATGCTGAGCTAGACCTGTTGGTGAAGCATCTGAGAGAGGCAGCCAAGGATGGAGCTGTGGTTGATCTAAGTGCCAGAGTTGCAGCACTCATTGCAGACACTGCTTGCAGAATGATTTTAGGGAAGAAGTACATGGACCAGGACTTGGATGAGAAGGGTTTCAAGGCTGTGATAACAGAGATAATGTACTTGACAGCAACTCCTAACATAGGCGATTACATTCCTTATATCGGTAAACTTGACCTTCAAGGGCTAATCAAGCGAATGAAGGCGACGCGAAAAATCTTTGATGAGTTCTTTGACAAAATCATCGATGAACATATTGAATCAAAGAAGGGGGAGAACGAGGTAAAGGACTTTGTCGACGTCATGCTGGGATTACTCGGTACTGAAGAATCGGAGTACTGCGTTGAAAGACCCAATATCAAAGCCATATTGCTGGTAAGGGATATACAGAAAAGATCAAATATGTTTTACATAAACCACCCCAAAGTCCTTATTACACTGACTATATCAGTTTTCTATCTTTTATTTTCTTATTCACAGTGCCGTATATCAGTTGGACTGATGCTCTCACTCTTCTTTCACGCTTTTTTGCTTATTTTATTTTGAAAAGGATATGTTGGCTGGTTCAATAGATACTTCTGCGACAGCAATAGAGTGGGCACTTTCGGAGCTGATAAAGAATCCAAGGGTGATGAAGAAACTCCAAATGGAACTGGAAAGCGTGGTGGGTATGGAGAGGAAGGTGGAAGAATCAGACTTAGAGAAGTTAGAGTATTTAGACATGGTTATAAAGGAAAGCATGAGGCTGCATCCAGTGGCACCGTTGCTGATACCACACGAGTCAAGGGAAGATTGCATGGTTGGAGAGTTTTTCATTCCTAAAAAGTCAAAGGTGATAGTGAATGCATGGGCTATTATGAGAGATCCAAGTGCTTGGAATGATGCAGAAAAGTTCTGGCCAGAGAGATTTGAGGGAAGCAGCATAGATCTGAAAGGGCATGACTTCGAGCTGATACCATTTGGATCTGGAAGAAGAAGCTGTCCAGGAATGCAACTTGGTCTAACTCTGGTTCGTCAGACAGTGTCACAAGTTGTCCATTGTTTTGATTGGAAGCTTCCAAATAACATGTTACCATATGAGTTGGACATGACAGAGGAGTTTGGACTCGCAATGCCAAGGGCCAATCATCTTCTTGCCATTCCCACTCACCGCCTTCACTGTCACACTGATTGATCCAGAGAACAAAACCTGTGGCCAACATTATATGTTTTGAATGAATAAAAAGAAGACCTTAGATTTGTAATAAATGTAATTTCTCATGTCTCTCCCTGTTCATAGCAGTAAATGCCTGTAACGGCTTGCTTTGTTTTTTTAGTATTGTCTTTACTTGCACCAAGATTTGCAGCCGGACTTCCGCATAATGAAAATTTATATAATTAAATAAAAACTATATAAGTGAAAATGATGGAATTAATTATTCAAGCAATACAGTGACGTTGATATATTTGTATTTCTTTATTTCAATTGTGATAAATGAAATAAAAATGTTATAAATAAGATAATGACAAAAAAGTCATGTAAATAATCGGAAAAAAAAACCCAAAAGATAACTTTCGATTAAACGGATATTTTATACATTAATGTTTTTATTTAATATTGTGTCGGGAGCATAAAATATCTGTACCTGTTTGTTTCGTGAGAGTTCCGCTATTTATGACTGCGGATGTAGTACATTTTTCTCCTTGCTTATATTTTAGTAGTCAAAATATAATTTTCATAAAAAATAATTAAGCTCTATTGTTTATTCAAGCTTTTTATAATCTTTACCTCATTTTACAATGTATTTTTCCTTTTGTTTATTTTAAAAGCTCCACCACATAATTTTTTTTCTCCTCTCCCTTCTAAATTTTATCTCCAACATTAATGATTAAATATGATTTTTTTAATCAAACTTTCGTATTAATGTTGTTTTTCTTAACAATGATTATTCACGACACGTTACCATTTAGTAGTCGTAGGGACGGATGTTGACCCAACTATTTTAAACACTATTAATATTTAGTAAACAAATATATTCCTATCATATATTTAAAGTCACTCTTTTACAAAAGAAAATTTAAAAGGTAATTTTGTAGATTAAAAAGATACTTTGTAGTGATGTACTTACAAGTCATTGACTATTTATTAGACAAAAGTTACATTTATGTTAAATTATATTTATAAAAAATTAGTAGAGAATCTAAATTCTTCACATTTTTTTAAATTTAAAAGGAATATTCATTTTTGTATATTTTTAATAAAATAATACTTAGATTTTTTTTACTTTTTTAAATAAATATTTATTTATTTTTATTTATAATAAAAAAAATATGTGGGTCGCTATCTTTTTTTCTATTTTTTTGGTTAGTTGATTGGTGGTGGATCACCATCTTATTGTTTAAAGACTTGTTGCCATAGTGCAGCAGTAAATGATGATGACTATCAAAATATTTAATTGATGGTTAGGTGTAACCATTGATTGAATGTAAGTATTAAAATGAGCAAAAAGTTATCTAGCACTATTTCAATTACATTACAAGCTATTAATTGGGATAATTTTACATCCATTTAAACAAAACAAAAACAAAAAGAACAGGGCAAAACAAGGATATATTTTCTCCAGTTGATTTTCTATAATTTCTTTTTATTTGTTCTTATATTTCTAATTTCGAAATCATTATTTATACTTCTTATAAAATTAACAATTTTTATTTTTTGTCTTTTTAAAAAATAACTTTTATTCACTCCAAAATTTGAAATAACTATTTTTAATTATTGATATTTATATAAAAACTTATTTTTATTAAGAATTAAAAAAAATGTAAGAGAATAAGTATAAGTAACTATTATTTGAAATGATTATTGACTGTTTAGTGGATTGATCAATAACTTTTGGATGCTAATATAATAACCTTAAACTAATTCTTCTAGTTTTAATGTCTAATATTTGCAATAACCTTCACATATAGAAAATGACAGAGATAGATTTCTCTTCATATTATACGTGAAAAAATTATGTAAAATAATTATTCATTCCTTAATTATCAATAACATCGATCTCATCTCTGCTAGAAAGTAAATAGCTTTGACGACAAAATTAGAAGGTAAAACTTTTCCTATTTTTTTAAATTCATCACTAAAGTCTTTCTTTAATGATATTAAAAATAAATATTTAAAACAAATACATAACATTTTATAAGAACAAAATTAAAACTCACGTATCTTATTAGAAAAACTAAAATATATATATTTAAACCGTAAATTAATCTAACTTTTATATATTAAATACAACACTGTGAAAATTTTATTTTTTCCTTTTTTAATAATAAATTAGAATGGAGACTTATGTGAGTAATATGTATGTTATCTATAGCTTTTATGTTAACAGATGGAAATTATAAAATTTATCAACGTTTTATATATTTTTTATTTAATATTTTTAAGTGATAGGTTGGTGATGTAAAATATTATTATGATATTTATTGATTATAAATGTCAATAATTTAGTATAAATATTACAAAAGAATAATTATTGTAGAGACTTATAAAATGATATTTTAGAGATAATAACAGTCTAAAAATAGTAATATTCGATTATTTTAATATTAAATTGTTTTAATATAAATAGTTTCGTTACGAATGAGTTTCATTATTTTAAAACACACTATATCTAGAAATCACTTTTTTAGAATTTTCTGACTTTTCTCTAACACTTTGTTCACTTGAATGGATTTAGAGGAGAACGATTGAATGAATTTGAGAGGATTTGAAGGTAAATTTTTTGTTGTTTATTTGAGTGGATTTGGAAGTAAGTAAGAGTGGATTTAGAAGTAAATTTTTTTAATCTGTCACATAAATCAAATCCTACACTAATTCTCACAAACTTTACTTCCAAATTTACTCTCACTAACCTCCAAATTCACTCAAATAAACAACAAAAAATTTACCTTCAAATCCTCTCAAATCCATTCAATCACTCTCTCCCAAGTCCATTCTAGTGAACAAAGCCTAAGGGTTCTCATCCCTGTTCATTTATTTGAATATCAGAGACCGTTTGAGTAATTCTCACGACGAGATTTTCAAGTCTAATCGATCAGTTTCTCAGATAGAGTAAGTTGGTTTTATGCACCTTTCTTTGGTTAATTTTGTTTTCTTTGCATGCTAACTCTATTTATTTTGCATGTGAAGTTTAAGTCTTCTATAAGACTCTTTGATGATCAGTGGTTCTAATAATGTATCATGATTGTGTTTTTGTGGTTCTTAGGAACAGATAAGAATTTATGTACGTTGGAGCTGTTTTAGCCTTTTTAGAACGGTTTGGTCTTCTATCAAGTAAGTTAAGCTAATATTCGCTTTAATTTTTGTTTTAGAAGCATGGATTTGTGTTTGATAGGTAATGAAATTTATGCTTGATTGAGTATGATATTAATTGAAATGCTTATTGAGCGATGTTGCATATTGAAGAGCGAATTATTACCTATTGATTAATATTTCGGTGTGTGCTTGTGCTTTGATAATATTGTGAGCTTTGGATGTTGTTGTCTTGAAGTTTTATACGTACAAATATGATGTAGAGAGGAAAGTAGGAAATGGAGAGTGTTGTTGGACTGATTTTAGTCTAAATTAAAGTTTTAGTACATGAAATTCTAGAGGAGCGACTTTGGTTTGATAACTAATAATTGGGATTTGTTTTAAAGTCATTTAAAACTTGTAAAGAACCTTAACTAAAAAGGAATGATATTGAATTGGTGAGTGTGATTTGGTAGAGTTGTATGCTAGTTCTGTGATAATAGGGGTTTTGTTAGGCGAGATTTTGAGATAAGGATTAGATGGAGAATTTTGAGTTTTAAAGTCTTTTTTTAGGCTATTTACGACTTGTTTAGAGATTGAGTTTACCAAATTACGTCTAGGAATGAGTATAACTAAATTATGGACTTTAAAATGATGTTTTAGTTTGAGTGAGTTAGAAATTCATGAAAATATTAGAGTTTAAGTTGAGTCATAAACACTTTGATGAGTTCAATTAAGGTCTGAAATAGAAAATAGGAGTTGTAAATGCATGTGGAGGGTGGGAATTAGAAAATTCAAGGTTGGTAAGTTCAAATTCTGTTAAATTGTTATTCTACAGAATTCTATAGTCTCGCTGAGTGAGTATAGTCATTGAGCAAGCAGTTTTTGTACTCATTAAGCGAGTATAGGCGTTGAGCGAGCAGAACTCGTTGTTTCTGTATTCGCAGAGCAAGCCATGGTGGTTGAGCGAGTGGGCCGACAGACACTTTTAGCTGAGCGAACAGATCTGTTGGTTGAGCAAGAATATCATAATTTTCAATTAAGTTTTTATATACTTCTTAAGGTGTGTTCAATGTATGTGATTGTTTGAATGATTTGTTTATAATACTTATTATGAAGTATGAATTAATTTATAATATGAATTGGAAATAAGATTATGTATATAATGATGTATGATATATGATGATGATGAGTATGTGAGTTGATCATGTGCATGGTATATAGACATAATTCCATGATTCTCGTGGGGAGATTCCATTGTGGTGTGTTGTTGAGTGATGTATTGATGTAGGGACTCAACCTTGGGAGTTATTATGACGCTCCAATAATCGCTCCATCTTAGATAGAAAAGGGGATTATGTGGTGAGGAGTAGCAAGAAGTCCTAGTCTATGGTCTAGTGTTCTCTGTCCATAAGTGGTAGACGGACTAACCTTCTGTGATAACTTGGGGTAGCCAAACTGTTCCACCACTACAAGTGCCAAAACTTGTCATAATCTGACATCAATACATATATTTGAATTGATCGAGTCTAAATTATGTATGTTGAGATTAGTTTTGGTTTGGAGATGAATTATGTTGTATAATGTTTCACAATTGTCTGAATGGACTCTTTTATTATATTAGCTTACCTTCTTGTGTTGATGTTGTTTGTGCTTGTTTTTCCTTTTATAATGATCACCTTCAATGGTGTGAGTTTAAAAGAATGTTTTCTCAATTAATCTAGTGTGGGATAAAGGTAAAGCATAAACATAATTAGGTTCTTGTTAATCATATGTAAATATTTTATTTTTAGAAATCTTTAGTTTTCTTGTTAATTATATTTTGTGACATTTTATTTAATAGTTTAAAAGGAGATGTTACAATTATGTTAAAATTATAATCCAAACGTTCAGAAACTATTTATTTTTATATATTTAAAATCTTATGTATTATCGATAAAGTAAGTAATAATGTAATTTATATCATTATTAAAAAATCTGAAAACAAATAGAATCAAGTGATAAAAAGTTTGTATTAAATGGAAAGGAGAAAAAAACTGTGCCCA